TATACTAATGATTTGTAATACTCAAGAATGGACGAAAACTAATGTACTTGGATATTAAAACGATGACAGAATCTCAATTGCCAAAACGGATATATGCGTAGATCAAATTGGTATTTGAGTACTAGATAGATGAAGTTGTACGACGTAGTATTATAATAGTAGAAACAAAACAGGTGACGATTCAAAACCACGTGAACACGTGTATCCCTCCTCCGGTGGTGATAATAATACATAAATAGATTTCTATACCATTTTAACTCCTAAACAACAATAATGTTAATTACAATAACAGCGAAAAATATATACAAGTATGCAAGTTATTGCAAAACATGCGTAAATTATCACGCGTAGTATTTCTTCTCAAAGTTCGATTAAAGAGCTACGCGTTTATGTCAATTCATTGTTTTCGATTTAAATTTAAACTCTTCATTGTACGTCACGTGTAGCAAGCTTTTAGTAAATATACATACGAGTTTTACACTATGCCGTTATATAGATTTAAAAATAATTAAACAATACGAGACACAAATGCATCATCTTCAGCTCATTGGGGTGCATATAGTTTCCCGCTTGTTTTCTTTAAAAAATTAATAATTTGTGTTACCGTGATTTTCAAGTAACCGACCGATTTTCATGTAGCTGACCGATTTTCATGTAGCCGACCGATTTTCATGTAGCCGACCGATTTTCATATAGCCGACTGATTTTCATGTAGCCGACCGATTTTCAATTGGTCCGCTATATGAAAATCTGTCGGCTACTTGAAAAAAAATTCGGTCGGCAAGTTGAAAATTTGTCGGCTACTTGAAAATTGCGCCGCTACATGAAAATCGCTCCGCTACTTGAAAAAAAATCGGTCGGCTACTTGAAAATTGCTCCGCTACTTGAAAATTGCGCCGCTACATGAAAATTGCTCCGCTATTTGAAAATAAATCGTTCAGCTACTTGAAATTTGTCGTCTACTTGGAAATGTTTCCGCTACTTGAAAATAGTTTCGTTATTTGAAAAAAAAAATGGTCTGCTGTCTATAATCGGTTGGCTACTTCAAAATCGCCCCTCTATTTTCCAAAAACATTCGACCCGCACATGTATGACCCGGAAGTAAATCTTTTACGATTCCATGTCATTCCATGTGGGCAAGGTTTACAACGTATCACTGATATTGGTAAGTTTAAACAATTTCTATCGCTTTACTATGCCAAAAATACCGTATTATTGAGAGACTGTGATTGAGTGAAAATTCATGACACCGTCGGTGATCCGAATGTATGATCCTGGACCTTGTCGGGCGAAATGACCTCAGATAATTTTGGGCCAACTTACCACTGCCCCAATGCTGTTATGTATGAGCAGTTCAATCAAAATTAAAATTATCCCTTCCACCATAGTTATGATTTTAATGTGATTTTTTCACTTAGCAATAGTAGTTAGTGTATTGTATTGTACTGTACCGTACCGTACAAGTATATTGTGATTCTTTATGTGTTTGTAATATTATTTAGCTTTATTTAGCATTCTGTTTATTTTATTTTATTCTATTTTATTTTTTATACGACCATAGAACAACTCACTGTAGTTTGTTTGAATAAGTATTATTATTATTATATTAAGCGATGTAAAACAATAATTTTCAGCATTTATCAAGTTTTTATACAATAGATTTTTTTTCTAGAAATATTCTACTTTTAGTTTAGATTTGGAGCTAACCTGCAGTAAGCATTATATTTCTATTTCATCAAATTTGGTTAAAACCAGGTGTATTGTACAGCTTGCATTTTTGTGGTTACCAATATAAATTGAAATTGAAATTAAATACATATTTAAAAAAAATATTTAAAATCTTGGTTTATTATCAGATGAATTGTAGATACTTAATTATACACAATTACCATAACAATTTGACAATAATATTACTAGTATTTTAATCTGAGTCCTTAATCTGAGACAAGATTATTAATCTAAAGCTGAATATAAGACATATAAGCTTTATGCTTGTCCACATAATACTAGTCAAATGCTCTTTCCAAATTCAGGCACTTTTTTCATACATCATTGTAATTGTCAGTCAAAAGGACTATTTCTGTTTCTATTGCACATAAAAAATTACAGAATATTTACACCAATAACTCGGGTGGAGCATTGACTTAGAATAGGCCCAAATATTAAAAACTCACCATTTTAGGCAGTAAAAAAGTGTTTCTTCTAAAAATTAACGATCCCAAACTGTTGTTTTATCCCCAGAGTCCCCGGGCGATAAGTGGCGACTTTGAACATCGGGTTAATCTGTATTTTTCTGACATGATCTGAATACTATGAAGTCCATATACCTTGTCTATTTACGATAATACCCTTAGTTTTCACAAGTTTGAAAAAAAAAATCAACCGACCGACCCAATTTTTCAATTTCCCGATTTGAGGGCAACATGAGTTTTTTTTTTTTGGACTTAGTCCATCAAAAGTCAGGTGAAGTACACATGTTTCAATGAAGACTGGTGCATTAATTGTTATATCAACCTAATCTTTTTTGCAAGTTAATTTATTTATAGAAATACTAATGGTATACCTATATAAGGCAGTTCATGCCTATAAGGCAACCGATGATGGAGAGTTGACCATTAAGGTCAACGATATAATTGAAGTTGAAGGATTGCCATGGCAGTTTCAAGGCAACCCAAAAGAGCCTCGTGGATGGATTTTAGGAAAATTTAATGATGTGGAGGGTAAATTCCCCTCTTTTGTGGATTTTTTTAGGCAGAGGTTATCACCACGACCCCCGACTCCACCATTATCTTCATTAGTTTCAAATAAATGCAATAGAAAAAAGAAACCTATACGTAAGTATCTTAAGAATTAACAATGATTAATTTTATTTATTTATTTATGTATGTATGTGCATGTCATGAAGGCATGAATATATAAATTTAAACTTTTATAAATGTATGGCAATCCTGGAAAGACGTGTGGCTAGTGAGCATTACCTAATGACTACTAAGCCAATAAAAGTGTTTACACTGAATTTGAATAGAATGTTAGGGTCTCCAAAGTATATGTTTTAAATATTTCGTAATTTCATGCGTTAACGACTAGAATTGCGTTATACAATGGACGAAATATGGCTTAATTTGTCAATTAACACCTCACCTACCAGGGCAGTACTGCTTAGTTGATACATTGAATTTACATCTTAATTAAAATTAATCTCAACATCATATTTAAAATAATGGATTATGATGTCCTTACAAACCTTTAATTTTCTACTTATGACACATAAAATGCTATAAACATGTTTCTGTTTGTTTTTAATAATTTCCAAGGACAGTTATTTATCTATTTTTAACATTTTGCAGCAGTAAATCTACATTTACAGGTACAATATGATATTCTGTGTTTATTTCTACTTTTGCAATATTTTACTCTGAAACTGTACCATACACATTTTATTTATTTAATTGGTTAAAGGGAATGGTGATAACTTCACTACTGTATGTTGTTCACGTCAGTTATTATTTGTAGACGGAATTGTGTAGCATGAATATTATCTTTGTATGCATCAAGTATTTTTATTACAATATGATAAAATAAAATTTAATAAAATAGTTATCATACAATATTGAAAAAATCCATGGTACTTAAAGAAATATTTTACCAGAAATGTTTTTTCACCCAAGCTTAAGAAGAATTAGTCTAATTTTATCTGCTACAGGCTCTTTCAAGGAGATGAAGATGAGAACGTCCTCTATGAGAGTAAGAGAAAAACAAATCAGGATGTAGGCAATTTAATTTCTTTATTCATTTGTTTCAATAATTGAGCTAAGCAACTGACATTTTTGGCGATAGCAGTATAGTTTACCTTACATAATTGAGTAAAATGTATTGTATTTAAATATACAATAATAATACATAAAAGTAATCAATGTTTTGTTCCGCCAAAATCGCAAAACAATTTTGTACTGGATGTCAATAAAATTGATTGATATACATGTACTTTGCAATTTAACAATTTATTTTGCAGTGATCTAATAATTGATCAAATTGAATGAAAATAGTTTTATTCTGTCTTTTATTTTTGTTATTACAGCTAAGATGGTCCGTAGCAAATTTGATGTTCAATGCTCATATCGTTATAGCACCCTCATACTGTCTGAATGAAAAACAAATGTTGTTGTTGTTTTTTTGTTTTTTTTTGGGGGGGGGGTTCTGTGTGTGCCCAGCTCAACTGGTTGATGGTGATGTACTGATGTGTATATGTGTCACACATTGTCATTCCGGAACAGTATCTCAGTTGTCTCATACATGCCTGGATGGACCAATCAAGCTTAAACTTCAAACATACTCGTACATCTATAAGACAAACAGGGCCTATAACAGTGCAATTTACATCATGCAATTTATCATGTCATAAATATTATGTTTTTTAATTAGTATTCCATTTTGAATTTTCAGCAAGGAACTATGGGTAAAATTACATTTCATTACAATGACAAAATACTTTCTTTCATAACTTGAATATAATGCAAATTAGGTCAAATTTTCAGTGATCATATTAATATATATTGTTGTAACTTGTATAAGCTACTGTCATCAATAAATTATAAAATATACTAGTATACTAAGAATTAAGCAATTGGTAGAAAAATGTAAAAATTCAAAAATAAATATTTTCAGTTCTGTTGCCATGATGACCAATTAAATAATAATAATGAAATAATTTTCTTAATTGTTCACACCAGTGTCTAATGATGTTTTACTTTACCCACAATTCTATGCTGGAGAATCAAGATGGACACATCGATGAAAAGCTCATTATCTAAAGAATAAAATGTATAAAAACTGTTAATTGCATTCTGCTACATTTGTAGAGCTCTTTCATCTGGGAACATTATGTTTGGCTAGATTCACGTTTTAGTTCTCTAACAGTTTTCAGCATGTTTTGTTACAACAGATAAATACAAATACTAGTAGTTGAAAATAAATTTTAAAAAGTTTGTTGAGCATTTTATGTACTTTTAATTATTTTTTGTGTCATTAATTCATATTTGTTATATAAAATGAAATCTAGCACTTCACACAAAAAAACTTATGGCTTTAACTTTATTTTTTCCATCTGAAGGTGCAAGTGAGCATGTTATCACTCAATGGTAGAAATTTAGTTGTTTCAAGAAAAGTTGAAACAGGATTTTGTGTTGTTGTATCTGTGCTGATTACAGGTACTGAACTTTAAATAAATAAGTACATGTTTATTTATGTTCTTTGCAAATACATTTGGAGCTATAAGTCCTGGATCACTATTGTACTGGATTGATAACCATTCAATGGTTTTGTGCTATCAGCCTGTTCTGTTTAAGATCATACACATATCATACATGTTGGGATACGTATGCACATGGATTTATGCATTCAAAACTTCCAGAAAGGGAAGCCATTTTATTGCCAAAATTCTCCCAAATCATGCATTTCTGTCAATTCAGAATCAAATCTCAGTTATGTTATGCATGTTACTTTGTTATGTAGATCAGATTCAAATATCAACATAAGTCTGACATACCATGCTTTGAGAAATACTTACAGATTGATTCACTACAGTATGAACTTAACTTGTTTTTAATGTGTTGCCTTTAATTAATTAATTTTCTCTTTGCAGCAACTGCAGATGAACTCTTAAAATTGGCTGTTGCTGAACAATTAGAACAAAATAGATTATTGTCAACAGAAGCCAAATATGTATTGCTATACAAGGATCGAAGTCTTGTAAAATATATTCCGGGGTCAACTGAAACATTCATGCTAAAAAAATACAAGATTAAAATGAAGCAACCGTATACCAAGTTGTGTTTTTATTTATGTCTCGAAACTGCATATGCAGGTAATTTTTTAAGTGATATTTAACACTAAACGCCAAAACTGTGAACAATGTGCACAATGTTCATGTTATACAGTGACTAATAACCCTCTTGCTACTTGAGGCCTTGTAAAGTAGCAATCACTGTGAATATGATATACAAATATAAAATATCAAAAGAAAATGCAACTGTATGTGATCATATCTGTGCCTGAAATAATATTTGTGACTCCCGTGTGCTAAGCACACAATGGGAGTCCTCTGCAGTTAACCTGTCTGTGTTTATGTGTGTGTGTCTGTCCGTTCCGCTGATATCTCAAGAACCGTATGTTGGTTTCTAATGAAACTTGGTGTATAGATGCTCTGGGCTAATGCGCAGATTTGATATCTATGTTTTGGTTGAAACCCATGCATATTAATTACCTGATTTGCATGATAATTAGCTAATTTTTAGCTGTTCCTTGACTGTTCAGCTGATATCTAAAGAGCCATTCATTAAATTTTGATGAAATTTGGTACATAGATGATTAGTTTTGGGTAAAAATCCATGCATATAATTAACCTAATTTGCATAATGATTAATCAATTTTCGCTTTTCCACTGATATCTCAGGTACTAATCATCACATTTCAATGAAACTTACATAGATACATAGGAAGATGCACAGATACATATGCGAAATATTAATTACCCAAATTGCATAATTGATAAATTTTCAGCTTTTGATATTTCAAGTACTATTACTTTTCAATGAAACTTGGTACAAACTTGGTGATGTTCTAGGACAATGCACAGAGCGGATTAGTTTTGAGATAAAATCAGTGAATATTTAATCAACTAATTTTCAAAATTAGTTAATTTTTGGCTTTTACACTGATGTAATGGCAATTATTTCATTTCTGATGAAACTTGGTACATTGATGCTCCAGAACAATGCACAAACCCGCTCAGTTTTTAATTAAAATCAGATCATATTAATTACCAAATTAGCATTATAAATCATAATTTTTGGTTCTAATCACATTCCAATGAAACTTCGTACATAGATGGTCTGTGACAGTACTTATCTTATTCAATGATTTTTGGTACATATATACTCTAACACAATGTGATGATCAAATTAATTTTAGGTTCATATACATGTATAATAATTACCCAATTTGCACAATAATTTACATTTCTGCTTTCCACTAATTTAGTTAGGATTAATCATCACATTATAATGAAACTTTGTACATGTGCACCCTGAGAAAATTTACAGACCTAAATCCATGTATAATAATTGCTTAATTTGTATAATAATTCATTTGGTTCACTGAGGTAAACCCTAAAAAATATAAAATAGTTTAAGTTCTACATTGTTGAATAAAAAAAATCAGATTTAAATTGAATTCATCGCAGAGGTGCTTTCGAATAAATTATACTAAAAACCATGGATGAAAAATCAAATGTATTTTCTGCATGTATTAAATTTTGATGATGTAAATCACATTTTTTTCATGTTATGCATCTCAAATAGCAGACAAAAATTAGTTGCCAAGCTTCTCGTTTGAAAATCAAGTCTTAAATTTTGAATTAATTCTAATGTGTCTCTAATACTCTCAGCACACAGGCGTTCTTTCTTAGCTTTTTTTGATTATTTAATATGTTCAGTCTTGTCACATTCACAGTAAATTTGTTTCAATACTTGCAAAGTTTTTTGTTTTTTTAATACTGATACAATTTTATATTTGTCGTCCATCTCAAGAGTACAACCAAATGAGCACTGATAAAGATTATCACTATGTTGACACAGATGATAATAGTGATACTGTTGATGAACATTGAACAATGCCATCATGATATTAAAGGAGAAGAAATAGAAAATGTAAGTTTTACTACTACAGTTTTGGATTACTGGTATATAAGTATATAACACTTTGAGTGATGTCAATGCCAAGTTTAAATGAGATAAATCTTGGCATACCTAAGTTGATATTCAAGTGTAGATTTTTGGAGGGATTAGCAAATGCTTCTCTAGGAAATGATGATAGACTTGTAAACATGATTAAAATGGTTCTCCTTGCCTTGCTTGCAAGGTGGATGAAGGTATATGAGTGTGTTTGTCTTTAATAAATAATTATACCTACATGTATTATAGTGATGGGTACACAAAGAAGTGTATCAATTAAAACAACATGAGTGGCATTTTACCTTTCAAATTACTGAATTTGAATTTTTTTTTAAATTACAGGAACATGAGAATGAAATTGAAACTATAGAAGATGGTAACCCAGATATAGATACTGAAGTGGCTTTTGGAAACAATCCAAATATTGATTGTACTGGTTCACTCGATGATACTCTGCCTATTCTGTGAGTATACATGCAAGCATATTTCTGTATTAATACACATATCAATGGCAATACAATTTTGAATCTTGTACATACAAATTCAATCTGTCAAAAGTTCCTTGTAATTTTGTTTTCAACACTTTTGACAGTTTTTAAAACTACTTTATTTAAATCTGGTTTTTGAAATTGAATATCCAGTAAAATTTTTGTTACAAAATTGACCTTGCCCAAATCAAAGCTTTTTAGCTCATAACATATCCTCAGTAATAACAGGATTTTGTATAATATTATTGCATACAAAGTTATCACAAAGAATGTATAATAAGCATTATACCGGTAAATACATATTTATCATAAATTTTCATTTCAGAACCCCATATGGAAACTATTGCCAGGTGATGAATATTTCTGATGAAGATAATGAAGAATCTGATCAGAATATTATGGATCATGAACAAGTAATCATACCAACAATTCAGAGTCAAAGGTGATTGCTTAAATGCAAAAATCAATTTTATCTTGTTTTTTTTCATTTTCTGTCTTGTAAAGTACTTCAACTGACTGGTTAGCTGAAAGTTTTTATTAGTCCCCGTTCGGACGAAGTCGAGGACTTATAATTCAGTCTCCGTCCGTCCGTGTGTCCGTGCGTCTGTCCGGAGTCATATCTCAGAATCCCTTGTACCGATTCCGTTCATTCTTTGCATGTGCCTAGTACCTTATGTGGTATATATGCACATGCATTGCTTTAGCGATTCGATTCAAAATGGTCGACCGGCAGTCATCTTGTTTTTTGAAAATGTTGTATTTTGGACATGCTTTGTCAGTTGTCATTCAAACTTGGTACATAGATTATTCATGTTAGGATACATGTCCATGACGATTTATTTCGCAATTGGATCAAAAATGGTCGACTGGCTGGCATCTTGTTTTTGTTTTTTTATGCGGTATCTTGGACGTGCTCTGTCATTTTTCATTCAAATGTGGCACATACATGTACTTTATACATGTTAGGATGCATGTCCATAACAATTTGTTTCAAAATCTGGTCAAGGATGGCCGATTGACAGCCATCTGACTTTTTGGCCTTACTACTATATTTCCACAATTTATGTACCATTTTCATTCGTATTTGCCACATACATCATACATATCAGTGTGTTGCATAATCAGATCAAAGATGGCTGAATAATGGCTGTTTTTATTTTGGCCATATTACTATGACACGAAACACGTGTTTTGATGTAAATAAACAATCTGTTGTATACGCCACTTGGAACTCAAGTTTCAAAGACATGCTCGCGACAACCCCTCCGCTTTAATATGACGAGCACAAAGAGAACTTAACGGGGACTGTGTCATTTTCAATGACTTGTTAAATAAGAATTTTCACTTGTACAAGAATACTGCATATGCTGTGGCAGTACTTTCATTAGCAAGAGTTTGAATTCTGTGTAAATATTATATTGTAGGCGCGTACCAGCCTATGGGTCTTATATCAAACATGATAGATTTATTTGGTAATCAAAATATATTTTGAAAGATCATGTTATCGGTATATTTCATATAGACATTTTTCTATAATTTTTTTTTTGTATGTTTATGCATTAAAGAAGTTTACAAGAATTGTTGAGTGAGTTTATTCAGAGTGTTCAGGTTGATGATGTCAGCACTGTTATCATTCGAAGATCTAAAATCCTGAGAACTACTCTAAAAGCCATTAGTAAGAATGGGTTTAATATAAGAGGAAAGCTTTTTGTGGAGTTCAGTGGGGAGGATGCTCATGATGACGGTGGACCACGGAGAGAATTTCTAAGGTATGAATACAAATCAAATTTGAAATCCCCAAAAAGGGAGTCGACTTAGACATATGCATGTTTGTTAATAGCTTACATGTATCACAGTTATTCAAAAACTATGTACCTTGAACATGATCATTGTTTTAATTACAAGCATTTTTATTCTCAGTTCAAAAATTTTGAAAACTTAAGTGACTTATAATCAGTTTCAATCTGTCTCGCTTTCCGTCTATCCATAGTTGTATTTCAAAAACCTCTGGAACAAATTTGTTTATTCTGTGCACGTCCTTAGTACTTTATTTGTGACATATGCACATGCAGTGGTTTAGCAATTCAATCAAAGATGGCCGACTGGCATTCATCTTGCCTTTTGGTCCCAAAACTATATCTCCAAGGCTTATGGACCATTTGCATTCATATTTGGCACATACATCATACATGTTGGAATACATGTCCATGTCAGTTTGTTTCATAATCATATAAAAGATGGTCTATTGCTGGTTATCTTCCTATCTGGTCATACAACTGTATTTGATATCCATAATACTGGAGGCATTTTACTTGAGTTTGGATGTAAAATTGCATAAATATGAGAAATAGCAAATAGTTTGTGTCCATAAATTACCAGTAGATTATAAATCATTTCATTTAATAAATATGATTTTTGTTGATACTAGATTAGTTTAGTTTTATTACAAAATGTACTCTCAAATACAGACCGTACACCAAAAATTCATTCAGAAACTATGTATTTGGTCACACGACCATCGATTTGCATATCCAATTTGATTGCATATATATTATGCATGTAGCAATACATGTTCTTGAAACATACATTTATGTGTTGAAAAGTTATTTATTATTGTTCTTTGAATTATTTGAGTAATTACAAAATGTCATCAACATCAACAATGTAGAACTTAAGCTGCATTAAAATATAAAATAGTTTAACAAATTTGTTCTTGCTAACAGGTTGTTAATGCAGGAAGTTGGTGCTAGTATGGGGATTTTTGAAGGGGACCAGTTAACCAGAGTTTTCAGCCACAATGTACGCCTAATCAGTGATATGATGTATTTCAAGGGTGGACAACTTGTTGCCATGTCATTGCTAAATGGAGGTCCTGGTCTTCAGTGTATGGCTGATTCGGTTTACAACTACATGATTGGTATTGAACCGGGAAATCTCACAATTGACTTGATTCCAGATAGTGATATGAGAGTTAGGGTACAAGAGGTAAAACATCAATTGTATTGAAGATGACTAGTATAGTTTTATAGTCTTCAACCAGTTTCTACACAAAATCCGATCTTCAGAGCGATATCTATGAATATTATTTTCAGTGACCCTTTGTACAATACAGTCAAAGTATGCACATTCAGTTATTCTTATTATATATGTTATCTAAGGCTGTGTATTTCTTATTCAAAGATGAACATTGTGACATTCATGTCTTATTTAGATAAATGACATTATATAAATCATATTTTATAATAATAATACATTTTATTTAGCTATTTCCATAATAATGACTCAAAAAAAAATAGAATTAAAATGATACATTCTCAATTAACTACTTTTTTTCATGCAGCATATATCCAATGACCTGACTATATTATCATGAATTAGCCACAATTTCGTGGTAATTTTGTTTTGATATACCCACCCTCTTTTTTTCAAGCTTCAGAAATGTTCCACTTCAATTGAATTAAATAAGTTTATTGAGCAAAATGGTGACTGGATTGCGGATAATGGATATCCTGATATCTTCACCAGTGATATCAAAGATGTTGAAGAAATTTGCCATTTTCTTCTGTTACAACTAATTTTGTTCAGGTTTGTTGAATTACTGTTTCATGTACACATATGCAAGGTTATTAGCATGACCCTTTCCCACCTAAGTAGGGATATAGTCACTCTGCGGTTAGTTCTAGAATATATAATTATGAATATCTTTACTGTTTTCCCCACAGACCCTGATCAATCTACATTATGACTTCAGATACATTGTTGATATTTTTAGTGCACATCACTTTTTTTTCCCCGAGATTCGGCCTGATTCAGTTCAAAGTTGAATAGAGCATTTTCAATCAAACTTTGTATTATGACCTTACATATTAGGTTGGTGTGCAAGCCATATTTCTTTTTGAGATACTTGAACAAAAATACCCGACTAGCTGCATTTTTCTTTCATGCTATTTCCTCTGTAAGATATAGTCCAATTCAGTTCAAAGTTTTCACGTAGGTACTAGACTGACAGTAACACAATCTATAATCTGTGTTAGTGTTAAAAAAACATTGATCTTTCATTTCTACATGTCACATGTACTGAACATTTACATCGACTACAGCTAATACTTAACGGGGACTATGCATTATCAATGTTTGTTTTAATAAAATGTGCATATTTTTGTGTTGACATATTTTGTGTTGTAAAGATATTAAATGACCATTGTATCTCATATTTTACCGATATTTCATCTTGCACACTTACCACTGTTATTTCAGATCTAAAGCTGAAATGGATCAGTTTTTCTGTGGCCTGAATGATGTTGGAGGCCTGGGTCAGATTATAAAAGAAAACCCTGATCAGTTCAGGGACCTGTTCATTGATCGGGGAAAAACGACTTTGCCGAAAGGACATAAAGAGCCTGTACCAAATTGACTTCAGTGAAAACGGCAGTAACAGACTCAATGAAGAGGAAGATACAATTTATAGTCTGGAGCTATATTTGCAAGCTGTTGAAAGTAAGACATTTTAAATTATTAATGGTATATACATCCTACTTAATATTTAAATGAAGTGATCAATCTCTAATTTGGGAATTATTTTTGGAAATTATTGCTTACTATCTTTTCTTACATTTTGTACTATTTCTAGATGGAGAGCATCCTGTGTCTCTTGAAGACATCCTAGTTTTTGCAACAGGGTCCAACAGAGTACCTCCACTTGAATTTGCAAAACCAATCACTATACAGTTCTCCTCAACATGTGAAAATGAAAAACGATTCCCATCTTCATCCACATGTGATTTAAAACTTTGGCTTCCTCGTGGTGTTGACATAGACAGTTTTAGTTCATTAATGAATAGAGCCTTACTTGAATCACAGGGTTTTGGAAAAATTTAATTTTCATCCTTCCATGAATAATTTACTGTGTACACTCCATGGATTGTAATGCATAATTGCACAAATTCCACCTCTGGATAATTTGAAATTTTACCTTACTAAAATCCTTACTTACCTTACTAAAATCCAATATTTATCTTTGGATAGACTAGTGGGCCAATTGTATTTGCACATGTTGGTGCTACTCAGTACATTTACAACTTCAGGCCTAACTCGCATAGTTAGCCCACTAGTTTATGCAATATTCTATACATTAGATTTTAGTAAGGTATGACTGAATGTATTACAAATTTAAAATAATCTGCAAACTATTCCAATATAGTAAGATAATAGTAAACATGTTTGTTGAACATGACACGTTTTTGTTGCCAATAACCTGCACTCTGGTATTCGTACATTAGAAACTCACATTTGTATATTAAATAATGTATTCCATTATCTGATAGTTAAAAATAGATATCAAGTGGCTAATGGCAGTCAAGGTTCTATTAAACAGGCCCATTATTTGTCAGGTATCGTACCTATACTTTGATAATGACGGAAATCAACGACTACTTTTGAAGCCAAGGTCTGGTAAAAGTCCAACCTGTCAAGCGTCTAAGACTTTCATCTGATGGCTTCAAAAATAGCTGTTAATTGCCATGTATGTGCAAGTAGAGGTACGATACGTTGTATCTCAAATTGATACTTCAAAGTTTTAGGCGGTGATTTTTTACTTTGACAGGGACAATTTGAACCTATGTACCTATTTAAGGGGTGACAAAGGATGCTGAACAAAACAACTTTTTGAACAATAGAGAAAAGTCAAATAGCAGTATATATTAATCATTTCTCATTTTAATAAGTGTGGTAAAAATTGTACAATTTTAATCTCTGCATACACCACTACATGTACAATTTCGTTTGACATATTAGTCATGTTAGGTAGTAATATGAGGTTATTACAAGGATAGCTCAAAGTATGCATGAAGACAGCGGGAGTATCAACCGGTGCACAGCAAAGGTTGATGCGACAGCATACTGTATGAGTTCATACTTTGAGGTATCCTCGTAATAACCTTATTATTATACATCTTTTCCTTCCAAGGATACATCATGGGAATGCCGAATTCCAAAAAAGTTTAGAACAAAATCATCAAACCTTTTTGTGTGGAGTCGGTCAAACCCTGGTGGCAGCAATGTTTGTTTTTATTATTAGATTCCATATTTGGAAATCGCATTTCCTTATATGGTAGGATTAAAATACCCCGTAAAATACCGCAAAATTATGGCACTCTGTAACTTAGTATGGTGTTACGGTGACAGATGTATAATAATATTATAATATGCAGCTTTCTAATCGGTGGTTTGGTTTCTGACCTACTTGATCTTTATGAGTTGGACTAGAAACTGAATTTTTAATGTTTGTTATAAACCACAAAACTGTTATGCAAGATATTTTTATTAGTTTGAAATAAAATTTATACAATCACTGTGAATCTGCTTCTACCATTGCCTTTAACTGGCAATATAAATGCTTTGCCTGTTCTGTTGTTTTTGGTAGTAAAAGTTTGTAGCGCTTCATTGCATGGTCAATGTATTTATCAATCTGCTCATCCCCTACATAATTAGGTGTATGTGCATGATGGCGAACTTCCTCTGTGGTTACCGGTTGAATCATATCTCTCCAACCTATAAAAAATTAAATAAAATGAAGTTAAACTTGTCATGAGACACGTGGTTGGTTGACAGTGATTGATAAGATTTCCATATTTGTAGATAAACATCAAAAAAAATGTTTGAGTTATTGTAACCACACAACGAAGAAAAGTTTTACTGAAATTCAACAAATATCTTTAAAAACCTGCATCTATAATATGCAGACTAAATAAAAATCAAAGAATGTTCAGAAAGAACGTGTGTGTGTGTACTAAGGGTATTCGAAGCTTTAAGTACAAATAAGAAATACTGTATTTACTATATTAGAAGCACATTATGTTTATTGCATACAAAATCTTTGTGTCTTATTTTTTCCACTAATTTTTCCTCGTCGCAGATGCATGTGCATATTAATGAGGTAGACATGTGGTATGTTAGTCATATATCTGCATGTCATCTGCAGCAGTGCTTCATGCATTACACTTATTTACTACTATTTACAAATTTGGCAATCACTAAGCTATGTATCAAGTTTAATTAATATCTGCTAAGAGAAATTAGGTAATTAATATGCACAAATTAAGGTATCTGCATGTGTGTAAGTTAATAACAATGATTTTCAAAACTTTTCAAAATTTGCTATGCATTTTGAAAAGTATGGCCACTCTAAGTTAAACAATGCATGCAAATAAACAAGTGAAGGTTTAAGAACAACGTTTAGAATCCATAAAAAAAATGAACTTAGGCTTTACCTGATAATTCAGGACAGTGATATAGTATATTAGGAATACCACATGGTACATGAAGCTCCTTCTGATGCCTGATAGGATGATTGTTCCACTGTGTTATCACTTGATCTAATTCTATTTGGACTATTTCTAAATAGCAGTGGCGAATTAGACACCTAAAAACAAGACAAGACAATGCAATGCGAATTTCCCAGTTCGAAGTTAAACATCAATCTACACAATAGACTGCTAAAGAATCAGCCTCATGGATAGAAGACTTCTGATGTCTATCTTCCTAAAAAAATGACAATGTACTGTGTCATTAGCTAATTGTTTTGGATAATTTTGACACAATGTTCTTGACATATCACAAAAAGGTAGTTTATAAGGCCGTTGTCATAGCAATGAATATTGAGAACCATACAAAGTTTTAGAACAAGCCATACTTTGTGTTATTTACCCCATAATACAATATCATTTCCTTGACACATATTCAAACTGGGACACTTGTTTAACACAACTACAGGTTGAAAATTATGGTAATCAAACTATATTTACTTGTGTAAATGATTTCTAGAAGAAAACAACCTTTCTTCAACCATTGATGCAAAATATTGACGCCACCATTCAGTCCAAGAGCGCAAAAGGAATGACCAAAAACATTCTATTCTCTAAATGAATAAATGAAGATAAACTAATTAAATAAATCAGCAACAAATTGATTTAAAATCACAAATGTTGATTGAATGTATGGTGCAAATATATCAATAAATAATAATAGCCAATGACAACTATGTAGAGTCCTATTATTTTCTATGGTGATTATACCAACTTTAATTTAAAATTATTTATTACCTGATTCGCAAAAAAGCTTGTAAAGCTGCCACCGTTACATTCTCTGTTCCTGGGTCTGCTCTGATTTGCAAAGGACATCCTGTTCACAAATGTCACAGGAATTACATAGTGGCAATAATCTGTTTCAAATGTAGTCTCTAACATTGATAAAGTGATATAGAATCAAATCTATAAAGTCAACACACAATACTGTAATGTATAGCGCATTAAAACACCATTTTATGGCGTCATTGCCTCGGACATGGGGGGGGGGGGGTATTCACTTAAAAATAGGCTTGAATAAATCTTGTAAATTTTTGAGGTTATCCCTCCTCCTTGCCCTATTTATTAAAACTATAACAATCTCTACCGAACCACAATTGATGAGAAGGGCAAGCCACGCTCATTAACCCTTATAAAATCAAAATTTACTCTTTGGGAGGTCATTATGTTCTTTGTTTAAATAAATTTACTTGTGAATACAGATTTACATTATCCTTTAATAATGGACAGCTACAACATCATAAAAACCTCAAATTCAAATAGTGGGGATTTAATAACATGCAATAATGAGCAGAATGTTGTCTTAATATAAAACATGTACCTTTCATTTCATCCACACAGTTGAGGTAGTAATAGGCAATAACGCTAGGGTCACTGTTTGTGCTGGCTGCCTTCACCCATAAAATTTTTCTTGAATATCTGAAATTGACAAGATATTTTATTTTACTCAAAATATGCAATACATTATAAAAAAGGCATGATACACACGATATGTGCACATATCTGTATGAGAATTGTTAACAAAAACTTACCCATCTATACATCCACTTATACATATGCTATATGGCTTCAGCTTGTCATAGCTATAACAAAGGATAACTACATTAGATAGTATAATGTCATGTAATATATTGTAGTCTTTCTCATGTACTATAAGAACCATAATCTTAGAGTCATCCTAGCCAACTGTCCCTCTCTATTATATAAACTCAGTATCAATTTAGCTAGAACATATGAAGTAACACTCACCCATCCATATGCCATGTTTGATTTTGGCCCTGAAAATGAAAAAAGTATGTTATCGACACCAATATTTCAAAGTCATGTTCAGGTACATCATACAAAATTGTTTCTACAGTTCAAATGTCAAGTATACATGTCTAATTTCACAGAAAGTTAAACAATTACCCCACTATGATACAATCCTCTTTTGAATCGTTTCTTTGACCTCATCTCAACACCTTCTGGGTCCAGAGCACGCATTAATTTTGCAATAGTTTGTCTACAGAGTTTAGGGAAACACAGTATCATTATGTATATATGAAATGCCAAT